AAACATGTTAAAACTGAGATATTTAGGAGGTGATCAATTGAAATAATCAGCTGAATCCATTTGGTGGAAGCACTGTTTTAGGAAAAAGCAATGATCTCATAAATGTCCACACAAGATCCCTAATATAAATTTTGGCTTAAATAGAAATCATGGTTGTATCTTCACTTATTTTTGCCCGACTATGCTAAGGTTAAAAAAAAAAAAAAGAGTAAATCATGTTGAGAGGTAAAACCTACAGGCCTTAATTTTTTGTTTCATCTGATACTGTTTTTTTTTTTAATCCCAGTTCCATGCTGTTTCGATTACTACAATTGGTGTTACAGTTTGAAGACAGGGAGTGTGGCATGGTGAAGAGGTGCCTCCATTCTTTTTCTCAAACTGCTTTCACTATTTGGGGTCTTTCAGTGGTTCTGTAATTTTAGTAATGTTTATTTCCTTGAAGAATGCCACTGGAAATTTGATAGGGATTGCACTGGCCTATACTACTTTGGGCAAGAGAAGTAATTTCAACAATGTTAATTCTCCCATGAGCGCGTTATCTTTCCATTTCTGTGTGTCCTGTATTTCTCATTGTTGAGATTTTAAATTACAAACCCAGTGGTAGTATGGCTAAAAAGGCTTTCTTCTCTTCACGTGGACCTTCCATTGAATTGTCTCGAGTTCGAACAGCCATATAAAGACAAGAAGCTATTAACTTTCTTATAAGGATCCCTGTCACCTAAAGAAACTTTCCAGTGAAAAAGCCCTTTATGCCTTAGATTCCTAATTGTGAGAGAATATTCTACACCCAAAATTTTTCTACTCCAGAAAGAGATCACTAATAACTACTAAAAAGCACTTACCCAGCAACCTATCCCTACATGTAGGAATGTAAAGTGTGAAATACATCTGATCCCATTTGGTCATTTTTATCACCTTCTCTTAATCCAGCTAGAAAAACATAGTTTAGATAACCAAATAACCAGGATGCTAAATCTCAAGTCAGTTGCAAATTTTATTTAGTGGGTAGTAACCCCAGATTATCAAATATTTAATGGATTTTAGATATGGAATGGAATTTCAATATTAAAAAAAATAATTTCTTTATAAAATAACGGAGGGTTCCACTCATAGCAGGACTATAACAGACCAGGCAAGAAAATAATAATGAACAGCTATATTCCAGGCATTTTATGGGGGTGGAGTGGGGAATGGGATCAAAAACAGAAGGGGGGAAGGAAGTGCACTGGACTATGGTGATGGCACACGGGTGATTTGGTGATGGGAAGCCCACGGGGATTACAACTGAGACAGAAAAATGCACAAAGTAATGTAAAAATAAACTATTATGTAAAAGAAAAAAAACCTCTTTATAGCTGTAAAAGTCTGTTCATGCTCTCCTAAAGGCAAAAAGACAACATTGGGAAGACAGAGTACTAGCTAAAGCAAACTCCATTAAAAGAAGTCAGACATTTCTGACAGCAATGGGCTAACACACTAGTGCAGAAATCAGCATGGCCCAACTTAGCAGTTTGGTTCCTAAAGAATTTATCCATCATTTTTGTGGGAAAAGAGCATGAAGACAGTTTATATCTGTAAAGCAATACCACTTAAAGAAAATCTCAATAAACTGTCAGCATCCACTGGTCTAGTTCCCAAAACCCTTGACACAAAATATATTATCACTGCTATCCATTTTAGTTTTCAGAGGGGGAAATGGAGAACTATTTCATAAATGCACAAACTACCAGCTAAAATGAAGACATTTCAATTTTGCAACAAAGTAGAAGAGTATAGAGGAGGAAAAATAAAACTTTATAGTTTATTGTAACGTCTGGTAAACGTGGGTGTTAGATTGGCAATGAGTGAAGAATAAACAGCTCAGTATCGTACATTTACAGTTCATATACAAATTATCCTGAAAGTAACTTTAAATACTAGATCTTTAGAAGACAAAAGAGATATTGATGGGTTCATTGTTACAAAAATTCAAGGGGATATGTTAATGAGTCAAGTTTCTACCCAGGCTCTCCATGCAACAGCTCTAACATTTTTAAGCCCTTGCTTCATGTTTAAAAGTATTAAGGCAAGCAGACTTTTTAAAAAAAGATTTACTTATTTATGCATATAAGAGATGGGGGACAGGATGGGGAAAGTGAGAGGATTCACCAGAGACAGAATAGGGAGCAGAACAGGCAGATGGACTGAAATACACCGCTGAGGGGAGCAGCAGGCAGGTCAGGAGAGGTCTGCTTGCTGTGCCATGTGGGTCTGCTCCCAGGCCGGGGATGGAGCTCATGCTGCAGTGACTGCGGCGAGCTGCGTAGTGCCGTGACTTAACTCATTGGGCCATCAGGGAGGATCCCAAAATGACTTTTCATATTAAAGTTCAAAATAAAGCTTTTATAAATTATCTAACTGTAACTTCTCTTTGCATATTTCTTTAAATGTCTTAAAGATCACAAAATTTATTGCCAATTATAGACTTAACAATTATTATTCTAGGCAGCTGAAACATTTTCTTTTAAAAAGGTGAAAATAAAACTTAAGGCTTTATTAGTCTATTATAAAAAAGCTGTCACCTTAGTAAAAACTGTGGAATAAGAGTCTCTAAGTACCATGTTTAAGCCTTACATCTTTGCCCATGTATGAGATGTAGTATTTAAAAAAAAGAAAGAAAAAAACAAGTCCAGTGGGAGAACGGATGTTTAATAAATGATACTGAAACAAATAGCTATCTGTTTGGAATAAAAATAAAATTAGATCCTTACACCTTGCACCATATAGAAAAATACATATATTACTGATGGATTCAAGAGTAAAAAATAAAAATGTCAAGTACCCAAAATTCTACATACAATTTTGGAGGTTCACATATTCCCTAACGTTCAGTCATGGATCTCAGTTATTTAGAAGAGGATTTGTTAATAATTTCTATAGAAATCTCAATGTCAAATACCAGATGTATTTTCAAGATCAAGTCACATGCAACAAATGTAGATGAACATGTTAACTAATTGCAACTTTATAAAATCTTCCAACTGGAACTAGAAACAGAGGCATGTCAATACAAATGGACAATGACTAAAAAAAATACACCAATTTACTTTTGGGTGCATACTGTACAACTGTACCCCTCTGTCTGTTAGCCTCTCAGAAATATAAAATCAGCTAAATTTGTAGTACTTAAAACTCCATATGTGCAATGTTATTCTCAAACTTGATTAAAATACTTAATAAATACAAGTTATGTTTAATATGAATAACTGCAACATACTTAAACATCTAAACATATAATAGTAATTCTATAATATTAAAATGCAATACTTTCACCTGCATTAATCTCATACACAATGGAAAAATACTTGCAGATAATAAGCATTAAGAATGCAAATATATTTTCACTGTGGAAGAAAAATTATAATAAAGTTAGAAATCATATATTTGTGTAATCTACAAGGAAGCTGTAAATAGTCTACATTATGATACTCTATTTTAAAATGAAAACAATATTTGTTTACAACAAATTGACTCAAGGCAAAATATTTGTTTATTACAGAACAGGATCTTAAATCAAAGTAAGCAAGGCAACATTAGATCAACCATTTTATATTTTTTCAATGAAGTATAATTTTTAAATTGTAATAAAGATGAACATAAATCCTAACATGCTCTTCTCTTCTTATAAATGGGATGATGTAGAAAAACAAAGCTTCAATGTGTAGGGATTGGAACCATCTGTAAAAGTAAAAAAAAAAAATTCAAGTTTCAAGATTACCTGGAATTAGCAGAGTAAATATTTCCCTTTTTTTTACAAGATTAGAAGCAGAAATACAAAGAAGGAAGTTTATAAGGGGGAAAATTACTTTTTGTTCCCATGTACTAATAGGTAAGCTCCATGAAAACAGGCACAGTGTTCACTATTACAATCCTGTTCTAAACATCATCTAACACTTAGAGGGCACTCTACAATTTTTCAATAGATTATTTCAAATAATATTACATCTAGGCACATGTCCATCAGCAAAGCTCACTTTGCATAAGATAATTTCCAGTGGCAATTCCACTATAAAAGTTAATCGAAACACAACTTGAGAAGTGGGCTGAATGGAAAGTACATAAAGACATTAATGAGCTAAGAAAGTCCCAGAAGGTTTAGTATCTAATATCTCATCATTAATAGGGCATATATGTTCTGAAATTACTCCAAAATAATGTCCACAAAAATACTTCCATTTTTCTTTAACTTTTTAGACCAGGCAAAGATAACTCTTTGCTTTCTAAGAAATCAAAATAAAGAAATAATTCTGATATCTTAATGTTACCACAATTTTAGTATTAAAAGCTATAGTTTCTTAAGAAAGAAAATTCCTAAAGATAAAGCTTGCATATACATCAACAAATATTTGCAAGACACTGTAAATAAAAAAATAAATTTCTGGGCCATCCCTGGTGGTGCAGCCGGTTAAAGCACAGCACTAAGAAGCTAAAGCCACTTCAGCATGAAGTGACTATCCCCCGCCCTGGAGGTGATCCACATGGGGTGGCAGACCTCCCCTGACCCACCTGCTGCTCCCCTCAGCAGTGTACTTCATCAGTTGACCTGTTCTGCTCCCCATTCTCTGTCTCTGTACAGAGACACCGCCCCTGCACCTGTGGCCCTGCACCGCCCCAGTACCTGTGGTACTGTATAGATAAATAAATATCTTTAAAAAAAATTTCTGAGGAACTTACAATTCATACACCATCCTGATTAAATCAGAAGTATGCATATAACTTTAAAGCCTTTTAGAATTCTCTATCAAAAATTAAACCTAACTCACAAATTAAAACTGTGCTTTTGTGATTAAAAGTACAACAAAAAAAGTATTTCGGGGGGGCAGGGAGGGAGTACATTGGACTATGGTGATGGCACATGGGTGAATTGGTGAGGGAAGCCCACGGGGATTATAAATGAGATGGGAAAAGGCACAAAATGATGTAAAAATAAACTATTATACTGAAATTTAAAAAGGTATTTCTAATTTATTTTTAAACTTACTACATACAAGCATAAAAATCTACAGAGGCTGGTATAATCAACCCCCACATAACTATCATCTCACTTCAGTAATATCAACTTAATCCATATACCTACCCTCCACACATGGAGTACTGGAATAATTGAAAGCAAATCCTGGATGTTATTCCACCCAAAAATCTTTATGTATTTTTGTACATAAAAATATGTAATTTTTTTGGAAGCATCACATAATACATCTTTATGTATTTTTTTTACCATCATATAATAAAATTAATGATTTTCTTTTAGAGAAATACAGTTTATCACCCTTTAGGACCCAGGATCAAAATACATGACATAGCACAAAGCTTCAAAACTTAAACATCTGAGAGTTCTTTGCACAGTAAAAGGGGCCACTTACCATTACAGAAAAATAAACTCAGAATGACAAGTTCATGTGCTATAAATTAAAAACAATGAAATAACTACCATGTTTCATCATATTGGTAAAAACTGGAAGTCTGACAACATGCAGTATAAGATTTTGGAGTAATAGCCATTTTTTATATACCATTGGTATGTAGCACTGCTAAATAGTACAACCTTTCTAAAGAGCAATCTAGCAACATTTGCCAAAATACAAATCCTTATGTCTACCACTATTAGAAAACTATCCTACAAATACACTTTAAAATGTGCAACTAATAGGATGTTTAATGAATAACAGAAAAACTGGAAACAACCAAAGTATTTATTAGTAGAAAAAAATTGGTAAATCAATATATACTAATATATTAAGTGAAACAGCATGGTATAAAAGGGCTGTTATGTTTTTATAATATAAATATATGTCTGTGCAATATATAAACCTATTTCTTTTCTTTTTTAAAAAAGATTTCTTTATTTATGCATACTGGACTAGGGTACAGGACAGAAGTGCAGCAGTGCTGAGAGGATTCACCGGAGGCAGAGTGGGGAGCAGAACAGGCAGATCTACAAAACACACTGCTGAGGTGAGCAGCAGGCGGGTCAGGAGAGGTCTGCCACGCCATGTGGGTCAGCAACCTGGCCAGGGATCACACTCATGCTGCAGCGGATGCAGACAGCTTCATGGTGCTGCGCTTTAACCCCTTGTGCCACCAGGGAGGGCCCTATACACCTATCATCTCAGTGACACCTCACTATCACCACTCCTAATAAAATAAAGTAAAGCAAATAGCAAAACAAATAAAAAATAAACGTGATAGGTAGGTAAATACAAACATACATATAAACCAGCAAAGAAGAAATGAGACAAAAAAGGTTCAAAGCTATAGAAAGCTTTAACGTTCATTTTGTACCTTTCATTTTGTAGTCACACTCTAGTAGTGTGAGGTGCCCTCACCTATCTCTCTCTCACATACACACACACACAATGTACCACAGTTTGTCTATTGAGCCTAAAACTACATCAAACCAAAAAGCTTCTGTACAGCTTAAGAGATATAACCAAAATAAAGAGATACCCTACTGAGTGGGAGAAAGTATTTGTACTCCACACAACTGATAAGGGATTGATTTTGAACCTTTACAAAGGATATGGGAATAAGCAGCTTACACTGCCGGTGGAGATGCAAACTGGTCCAATCACTGTGGAAAGCCTGTGGAGGTTCCTCAAATTACTAAAACTGGACCTACCATGTGACCCAAGCAATCCCACTCCTAGGAATCTACCCAAAGGAAACAAAAGCATTCATTTGAAAGGGCGCCTACACTCTCATGTTTGTTGCAGCACTACTGACAAAAGCTAAGATATGGAAACAACCTAAGTACCCCAAAACAGATGAGGGGTCAAGAAGCTGTGGTACATATACACAATGGAGTACTATTCAGCAATTAAAAGATAAACTCATGCCATTTGCAGCAGCATGGATGGAGCTGGAGGGGACTATGCTCAGTGAAATAAGTCAGAAGGAAAAAGAAAAATATTGGGTGGTCCCACTAAGAGGGGAATTTTAGGGGAACCAAATAAGGGATCAGAGGGTGAAAGACAAAACTAGCAAGCAACTATAAACCAGAGACTTTCAGCAGGGGAAGGAGAGGGATTAAAGTGGGTTGGAAGAACAAGAGACTATGGTGATGGTTTACTTGTGACTTGTTGGTGGGAATTTTATGGGGACTACAAATGAAAGGAGAAAACAAACCATTCAAATTAGTGATATAAAATATATAGAGAGAAATAGGCAGGAAAAATATATAGGGTAAGTTATATTCTTATAGAATTAGAGTTAATATTCTAATAAGAGAATGTATACCACATTACAGATAATAGGTTATAAAAGATACCAATGCTTTTGTGTCTTTTTTGCTCATCTTTCTTGGATTACTCATTCTGAAGGAAGACAACTACCCTGAGATGGCTAATGTGCTTGACTAGACCTATAAACAAACCCACTAGTGAGTTTGGAAGAGCATTTTTCAAGACTTGAAAAGACAGCAAACCTAGAGAACAAACAGCCTGACTCATGAGAAATGCTGGAACCACCCCGGTAAAACCATATCAGGTTACTAACCTCAGAAAAAAACAATAAAATGTCTGCCATTTTAAACAGCTAAAACTGTGATAATCTGTTACACAGCAATAGAAAACTAATGCAAGTATAAATTTAGTTTTTTAATTATTGCCAATGTTTCTGAAGGTCACGCTCATTGAATAATTATGACACAACTTAACTTACTTGGAACTCTTATCTGGTAGTGATTAAGTGCTGTGAGAGCTTCTACTGCGTCAGTTTTACATTCCCATTCCAACAGCCCAGAAAGTGTTTTGGCAGAAGCTAAAATAAAGAAACACAAATCCAGTTGTTATTTGTTTGTCCTTAGCAAAACAAATAAACTTTCATGAGTAATGAATGTTCACTCACGTTTTGCATCAAACACTTTGTATTTGATGAATGTAAGAACTTCATGGTCATTACACAACTGCCAAAGAAATGTAAAACTCCATTAAAATATTACCAAAATAAGAACCTATTTTTTAAGAAAATAAACTTTATGTCAGCATTTAAGTTTTGAGATCAGCATGAATAAGTCAAATATTTTCTCAGAATATCACTCATGAGCAAATAATACTAATAGTCTATAAACTACGTAGATAATTTTGTGTCATACAGTAAAACCACAGATTTGTAACTGAAATACCCAGTACTAAGAAGTAGTGGGTGTAAGAAGTAGAGTTAAAAAACAACCAATTCTTTTCTGAAGCATTTCCTACAGTCAGAGGAAAAGTTTTATTAAGGGTGAGATTTAAAGACAAGGTAAAAAAGAACTTTACAGTATAGTATCTCAATCTAATTTTAACTCTCAAAAAGACTGAGTCACAATCCAACAAAAACCAAAGAACAATGGAGGCCAAAATAACAATATTAATATCAAAAGCAGATGATGAATAGAACTAGACTTCAAAGTAGGATTATGAGATATATTTTAAAGTAAGAAATAGGAACATTCTGTACAATTTGTATTTCATTATAATGCCTACCTTAGTGAAGGTCTCTTCTGTGACACACAAAGGAACATTATAATAATGCAGCACACATGAGGGTGGCTGGATTATATTCTTAGATGCTTGCCCAGCACTTGTAAAGCGATTATTTTTACTCATTGCAAAATCCTTGTAACTACTTGTACCATCCTCCAGCTCAAATATTTGACTTGGAACAACTGAGTGTTGTTTAGACACACTAAAGATCGGAAAAGGAAAACATACAGTACATACTTGTTAGAGTAAAAGCAGCAAGTAGTATCAAAATGCTACAATAACCTGCATCACTCACAGAAAAGGCATAATCGGGTGGTTTAATAGTTTAAAATAGTTATCATTTTAAATATGCACTTAATATAATTAGCTTAAATATAATCGATCATTGATTGATCTTTTAGGCGTTCAACATAAAACATTGCCATTCTAACATGCTGTTTGATGATCAGAAACTTAAAACTTGATAGAAGTAAACAAAACTTGCATTATATAATCCTAATATTTAGTCTAAAATGGGAACACTAAAATGGTAACACTATTGCTGCTAGTTTTGATGTCAGCTGCATTAAAATGTTAAAATGTTGATATTAAAATTAGTATCTATAGTTAATTAACAAATACTTTTAAGCTCTATTTTTTATGGTTTTTGTTCATTTTTCTATTTATCTCGTTTTTCTGTAAATACATTGGAGTAATTCTGGTTTATAAATGTCAATCTTTTGTCAGTTGTATGTAAATGTCTTCTCCCACTCCAAGGCTTCTCTTTTCACTTTCTTTATAGTATACTGTGACACAAAAGGTTTTTTTTTTCCACAAAATAATAAACTTTAAAAAAAATTTTAAATTACCACTGAATATAAATAATTACCAAACATTAAGTCTTTTTCCAAATAATTTGACGTTGTTAAGATGTGTGACAGCTCTTTCTACAGCATACTCGTCACCCATTTCTACCAATGCTGTACCAGGAATAGTCTTCATAAATTTTACCTGTGAATACAAAATCCCAATAAGGTGACCATTTTTCCCTTTGACAGTAACCATTTTTAGAAGGTAATATGACTTAAGTGGTTGAAATCAAATACAGGAGATCTGGAATCTTTATTCTGTTCTGCCATTTAATATATTTTATATAGCTTCCAAATCAATGGCAGAATTTTATTTATACTTTATAATATGGCAGAGCAGGAAAAAATATATATTAAGCTTATCAACCTTAAGTTAAAAACACTATAAATCTGTTGCATGGTAGACAAGAAAAGCACAGGCTTATCCTGTTATTTATTAGTTATGTGATTTGGGGCAGTTTACTTTCCTGAATCATAAATTTTCCTGTAAAATAGGTAATAATATCTGGCAGGACTCAATATCTAGTCATTCAACAAGTTCAACAGACATTTTCAGCTTCATTTTTTAAATTGAAGTAACACTGCATTGTAACATTATATAAATTTCAGGTACACATGTCTGAATATCAGCATTGAGCTTTTATTTCACATCAAACCAAAGATTTAAATATTCCAGTGGGAAAAATTTCTCTCTCTTGATTTAATCCAACAACAGCCTACAAAATCATATGACTAAATATATGTGTTAAATATGTAGTACATGTGCTGGTAAATCTAACGTTCAGAAATTTTAATATGTACATATAAATCTTTAAAGGATTACGACAGCTTAAATGTAGTGGATCATTAATATTATTTAAAATGTTTAAAAACTTCTTTGAGATATGGGATGAAAGGCTAGAATTACATTACATACAGAAAAGTTTTAACAAAGTGATTTGGGTTTCTAAATCCTAAGACACAATTAATTCATAAAACTCAAGACAAGGACCTACACTTAAGATGCTGAATAAACTGCCGAAATTCTGACTGTCTACAAATGTGAAAAAAGCACAAACAGAAAATTAACACTGGATAAAGAAGTTTAAATAATATAATGTTCATTTAGTTAACAAGCATACAGCTCCTAGAATTTAACTAAACACTCAGTTGACTGAGTGAATGGTTAAAAAAATTTGAATGACTTTTCCCAATGATGCTAAGTCTGTCCCATGTATTCTTTGTCAGTGATTTAAACAGAAATATCCTATATGTTGTCCCCTAGAAAAAAATCTATGAAATTCTTTTTTAATGTGGTTAAATAGTTACGTAGAGGAAATCTTTGTTTCAAAGATTCTGTCAGTGTCGTCAAGACCAAGGACACTTGGGGATGAATGAACTAAGTCCTCATAGTATCATTTTTCAAGCCACCATACGCCTCCCACACACTTATGACTCACATGCATATCCTTTTTACTGTGGGGAAAAAAACGCATTTAAACACTCAAAAGGGAGAAATACTACTAGAGTACTGAAGCTCAAACTAGTGAGTGTGTCAAATAACTGGTAACAAGACTACTACTCATTTCCAGTTATTTTTTCCATGATTCTTTCAAAAAAAAAAAAGGTAGCATCTGTCTTATATCAGAAACTATTATAATTATTTGTGAGATAGCAATGAAAACAACAGATTTGGGGAACCACAGTACCTGGCAAAAATAAAATCTTAATTTTAAAGATCTTTAAAATATGAAAAAATATTTTTAATAATGTTTATTTTTACATCATTTTGTGCATTTTTCCATCTCAGTTGTAATCCCCATGGGCTTCCCATCACCAAATCACCCGTGTGCCATCACCATAGTCCAGTGTATTTCCCTCCCTCCACCATTTTTCATCCTATTCCCCACTCTACCCCATAAAATGTCTCTGGTATATAGTTGTTGAATATTATTATTATTATTTTCTTGCCTGGTCCTTTATACTCCTGCTATGAATGAAACCATCCAGTATTTTTCCTTTCCTTTCTGGCTTATTTCACTGAGCATGATCCCTTCCAGCTCTATCCATGTCGCTGCAAAAGGCATGTGGTTTTTTTGTTTTTGTTTTTGTTTTTTGATTGCTATATATGTACCACATCTTTTTAATCCAGTCATCTACTTTAGGCATAAAATATGAAATTTTTAAACCTTTTATACTTTTGACTGTAAGCTTCAGAAAGTCCTAGATATATATTCTATCAAAGTGGATCAGTTTTAAATACTGATTGTGCTAAAAGCACACTGTTCCTCAGAAAATACTTTTAACTGCAGCATTTGGAGCACATATATAAATATAGAACCTGTCTAAAATTCATGACTTATGGTCAAATTTCCGGAAATGTTTATGTATACCTAGTTCCATGAAATTGTATTTAAATTTTCAAGTACGGCATGTTAAAGGCTAGACTCCCTTTGAAATGTTAAAAAAACATATAGATGTGTCTCTAATACATAACTGATTAAAGCACTGGTTGAACTCCCTTTTACATCAATTAAAAAATATATTTTTAGGGCCCTCCCTAGTGGTGCAAGAGGTTTAAAGCACATTATTTAGTTTTCCACAGCCACTGCAGCATGAGTTTGATCCCCGCCTAGGGAGGGGACCCAAGTGGCACAGCAGATCTCTCCCATCTCACTTGTGGCTCCCCTCAGCAGTGTATTTTCTGTCAATCTGCCTCTTTTACTCCCCTCTCTATCTCTGGTGAATCCTCTCACCCGCTGCACCACTGGCCTGCACACCAGTACTTGTATACATAAGTAAATAAAGCTTTAAAAAATATATATTTTTAGTACTGACAGTCTATACTAATCACTAACAAACAAAAACAATTACTAGAGTTCCAACCTAATGAAATTTTAGCTTTGGGGTGAGTGGAGTAGGGGTTACCTCTGAAAGAGCTAACGTGTTCTTACTATAAGGAAAAGACACATTATCTGAAGGTTTTTCAGAATTTCCTATTGTTTCACAAGAAAAAGATAAAACTTACCTTTTCAATATTTCCATATAAGCAAAAAAGGTTGAAGACCCTTGAACAATTCATTTTTAGCTGATGTAATCCACTAACCATTACAACTGAACCAGAGGGATTTCCTCCATGCATGTAAGAGGAAGAAGCCTGCGGTAATGGATATGCAACAAGCTCAGGTGTATCTCGAGAGCCCATTCTGTATCGACTTGGTAAAGGCAATAATGGACCATGGGAACCTACAAAAATAATAATAAAAAAAAATCCCGTAACTTTAGCAAATACACTTCACTACACACAAAAAATAAATTTTATTAAATAGCTTGACGTATGTCCAAGCAAAAACTCAAATGCCTGAATATTCAAATATGACCTGTGGGGATTAATAAAATCTATTCTTATTTGTACTAAATCCATTATACACTGACCTGTAAACAGATGAATACATCGGGCTAAAACTATACTTTCATATAGTCTTGAACAAGTAAGATCAGGCTACAGCAGTGGAAAATCAACCCAAACCCCTGGCTCATTATACATAAAGTATACCGCATATTTTTTAAAAAGTGATCATATGTCAATGTCTTTTGGAAAATAATACAATAAAACTCACAATAAAACCTAAGAAACTATATAAATATAAAACATCTTAAGTTTCATTGAAAAGTTGTGCTCTTGAATATTTTACAATAATATACTTTTCAGGTTAAAGTTTTATCACCTTAATTTTAGTTTAGGAAACTAAGACCATTAAGTTAATACCTAACATACTCCAGAGTTATCTTATTATTCAGAAACTTTCATTTTTTAAACAAAGTAAAAAACCTAGAAGAAAATGCCTGAGTATCGGAAACTGTAACACAAAAACACAATCTGTCTCTTGACTGAGAACACTTACGAATTGACTAACTTTCGTTCTAAGTAACTTTCATCTCATTTTCTCATCTACAACAGATTGAACAAGAAAATTACACTGAATGGCCTAGAAATGAACTGGGGAATCTGCAGAAACTATGATACTTAATAGGCACAGGGCACATTTATAGCAGCAAGAGGTATGAGAACTAAGCAGCAGCAACTAGATAGAACCATGTGCTCATATAAACTCACACATCTTAGTCACTTCAGAAGCACACTTTGGGGTACATATAAAGGTCTTCCAGGTGTGTACGATACCAATCTAAAAACCCAAGTCCTTTTCTTATCTCTCAAGTAAAGGGTATTAAATGCCAATGACTTTCGTTTATACGTTAAACTAAGAGACACTTATCATCTAGTAAGTGAATTACTAAATCTGACTACATTTTGGTATCCACAGCAGTTATGTGGACTCCAATGCCATATGTAGTTTTCTAAATACAGCTGTAATTCTTAACAATACAGCAACACTACTACGTGAACACACACAATGTGAATTTGTGAAATTTTATGGAGAAATACTTATCAATGCCTCATCATCAGTGTTGCCTTAAACTGGTTTTAACCGTTTTTCTTGATGGTAATCGGTAGTTTATCCAAACAATCAATACATTCATGGTGAGTTACTTTTGGCCTCTAATTTACTATTATATATTGGGATGCAAATATCAGTCATTCTTATTCTTATTACAAGAATATATATATATATATAGAGAGAGAGAGAGAGAGAGAGAGAGATTACACTGCCGCCTCCCACTAGTACCATTATTAGCTATTATCACTAATTTTCTTTTCTTGGAAAATGGAATGATGTGTGGTAGATGAGAAGTGAAACTCTCCATTCTGCTTAAGTTAGCCATGGTCTAAAACTTCTGAGATCTGCTGCCACGGGTAAAGGCCAAATTCCGTGCTAGAGATTTTGCACCTTCAACCACCAATACTAAATTTCATTTCTTACATTATTTAAATTATTGCTTATACTATCTTTTTAAAAAGAAGTCTTTAAGCTTTCTATACCAATAGTTCATGCAAAAAGTCTTGCTGCTCAAAAATCTGATTTAAAAATTCACTTGCATAATAAAAATGCTACATAAATGACATTATTAACATTCCAAAGGCATTTTACATTTTTGAAACTTTAAATTCTTTGGTCTAGGAACTACCCAAAGGTGTTGGCAATTAACAAAACAATTGGGCTCACAGCAAATAGTCTATATAGTCATTTTTGCCATTTTTCAAGCATGAGGACATCTACCAGTTTATCTCATAGGGCCAGGCTTCCAACATTAAAAGATTTAAAGATGTCAAAAAGCACAGCTTTGTACTGCTATAATAAACCAATGACTTCATTTAATATTAACTTTTTCTATTCCCTCTTTCTCATATACCATCAGAGAAGGAAAATATACCCATGTATGTTATCATGCCAAATTACAAATAATTTTGTTTTGCCAAAGGGATAGAACTATAATGTGTCCCAAAAAAAAGGAAAGAAAAGGCTCAATATCACTGGTACTCACTCCTATCTTCTTTAGTTTTTCTATTTCTTCATCTTAATTCTCTTTTCTAACTCTTTATTCCTTTACTTCCTATGCCTTGTTCTGCTTCTTCAATTTTAATGGACATAGTTCAGAACAGACACTCCGTCACAACCCTATCACAACCATGCTCATCCTCAGCAGGACTCTCAATCCTTAATTAACAACTGCCAGTCCAAAGAATTTTGTGACTCACTAAGTTTATGTTTTAAAATTTATTCTCTAAGTAAGTAAATAAGAGCATGAAACCGACAATTTCGCAACACTGTTTTAAAAATAAAAAGTTCCTTTAGGGCATATATATCCATGTAACATATATTTGCTTATACAAGTTTTCAGTAAACTGTACTGTATAATGGAAGACAAAGCTGAGAACTCATATTGAGAAAATAGTCTTTGTCAACACTACTAGAGTTCCTTGTCCTTCATTTACTCTTTCACAGACTTTTTAAAGCCCCTATGGCAAAACATTTATACTTTAGCTTTCATTTGATTCCCATAACACATTTATATACTCTATACTACACTACAAACATGTAATTAGTAATTCTTTTGTAACTCTCCATTATGCAAAGCATAGTGGACTACCAATATATGTTTCTTTAATGCAAAATCGGAACTACCCATACTCACTATTTCCATTAAACAACTAAGAAACATGATCAAGGAATATTCACTAAAATGACCACAGCAAGATTTTCATTCCATATTACATTTGCTGTTTTGACATTAACAGAAACTGTTTCGTTCTATTCTACCATACAGTCTACCACGGAATTTTGTATATACACCCTCACACGCACACACACACACACACAAAGCACACACACATACACACACAATAAATGCCTGTAATTCAAAGAGACACTAAGAAATATGCCAACACTCACAGCTAAGAATGTTCATCAAATATGTAGGAAATATGATAACATTTTGACAACCAAGCAATATCCAGGGCTTTTTGGTGTTAAATCTCAAGAGTACAATGTAACAATTTCTTTTTTTCTACCACTTCTAATAGAATGGTATTTCAACTTTAAATCAGCAAATATGTGAAGTCAATAACTACAGCTAAAAACTAAAAAATATTTAAGAAAAGAGTCTCTAACCAGTTAAAAGTTTTACCAATAGTAATTCTCAACATTTACTTTTAACGACAATGATGTGAAATCTAACTTTTTCCTGAGGAAGTAATTCTAGGTTTCATAATCTTAATTTATCAACCTAGCAAACAGTAAAACTATAGTTTTAAAAGAGGAATTAAATACAAACAAATTTAACCAAAGCCAGAATATCAACTACAGAACTGAAATAATGATCTAACCAGAAACAGGTTTCCTTTTTGACAAATAACCTATTAACCTATTCTATATGCTTTTGTTATCAAAATTCCTCCTTGTTCATGACTGCTAGAACAATGCACTTACTGAGCAATAATACCTTTTGTTTCTCTAACACACCAGAGCCCATAACTACTCAAAACCAAACCAAAACAAAACATAACAGCAAAGAGTTTTCAATCCCCAACCTATAGCTCTCATTTATCTGAAGGATTATTATTATATAACAATATCCTAAGAAAACAAAAGATTTTTGGACAACCTCTTCAGAATACATTTTAAGGGACTGATCACGTATAACCAAGTCAGGTGAGCAGGAAAAATAGACAAGAAATATGCCATTCTTCATCAAAAATGCAAAAATTCTAATAGTTCATCTATACTACCTTCCTTCTGCCTTGACAAACTTACCATAGCCATCATGTCTAAACGAAGAAGGGTGTTCTCCCAAAATGGCTTGTCTCTGGCGACCCTTTCCTCTATCTGACACAAAAGTAGAAACATGGTTTTAACAATTTGACCCAAGTACTTAACAGAGTGCTCACATGGGAAACACCCATTCAAAACATCCATTACAATTCATAAAGGAAATATGATTCCTGGTTAACTTTAAAATCCATTCATATCCAATTTAAATACAAACACCAAAAGTTTAGGAAAGTAATTCTATCTAACAAATTCCACTTAACTTGAAAATATCTTTTTGGCAAATGCCAAATACAATCACACTTTCAAATTTAAGAATGGATACTTTTCAGAAAGTGAATGTACACAATGCTAGTTTGACACTGTACAGAAGTTTTTACCAATACATGTCTTTAAAACAAGCTTTAAGTGCAGTACTTTTGAAAGACAGTACCTGAATCATACTATTAGCTTCAACAGCAACACATTTTCAAAGTGGGCTTCTTTCAAGAAGTTCAGCATAAGCCAACAACAACCTGTATTACATGGTTTCACAATCAGTAAACACAGAGTATTTTGTATGTATATACACATATTTACAAACACCTACTGACTTGAGAGCTGGAAATTTGCACATCACTGGCCCATATTATGTATCATGGATTGGTCATTATCTATAGACTTTAACACCAGGCATGACTATGAGAATCCCCCAAAGTTTAAATATGCCAAGATAAAACTAACCAAGGGGGCTACATTATTGGATTAGAGTACTACAATACTCCTAAAAGATCATTTTTATTCTAGCTACATTTTCAGAGAAGGCATGCCAATTTTCTCAATCTAATTGAGACATCAATAAGAAAACTATTTGTAAGTTTCTGAAACAGCACTTCCTATATTAGTAAATTTTAAAGTCATAATAGTTTTATAAAGTTAGCTGCTCAGATTATTGCATCCAATAACATTTTTAATGTAGCTTAAGAGTCTGTTTTATGCTAATCTTTGAAAATTCAAAGAGAAAGGTTTTTTATGTATCCTTAGTCACCTAAACAAATGAGGTTTATGGGCGATGAGAAATATTTAATTTTCACTTCAGTCTTGAGAAATATCACTTTTATTACGATTTCCAAATTATCATAGCGCTGACAGGAACCTAGGAGGTGATCAAGTTCAACTTTCATTCAGTGCACAAATTCTCTTTATACCTTTCCCTAACAACTGGAACCATATAACTCCAACTACCCAACTACTTTCCCTTACACTTTCAGTTAATCTGAAATCATGAGAAAATGTTTACATTGTGTAAAATTTAGACCTCAACCCAGTCTACCCATTGGGGGTCCTCACAGTATGTCTTTCTTCAAAAATCCTTTTAAATGTTCCTATTAATTTTCCCAAAGTCATTTCTTCTCCATCCTAAGCTTTCAGAGTCTTCTTTGCATTACTAGACTTCCTGCATCTCTTATCATTTAAGTCTCACTTATCCTGACTCATTCCAATCTGCTAACCCATTCTGTTACAGTACGTCTGTTTAAGCATACCACCAAAGACTAAATATAATTCTTAATCTGAGCTAGGACTCTTAAACCAAAGCTATCATAAGATCTTCAAGGCTTAGTTTTATTGATATAGTTAACAATGTACTATATAGGAAAGAATACTGCAAGGGATCAGAAGATTCCAATTTAACCACAAATCTGTTGTATAATCACAGAAATTGACAATCTTCATTCATAAAATGAAGGTGTTAGAGTAGATGATCTCCAAGGTAGCTTTCAGCTATACATTCTTATTATTAATAATTTTCTTTATTTGAAATACTACCTAGTACAAGGTCACATAAAACAGAAGTGTGCCTAAGAGTCAAACACTGAAAACATCAGTCTCTAAATAGTGACTTGTAACCTTCCATGGATTCAGCTAAAAATCTAACAGAAGCTATGAACCACCCAAAAAAAAAAAAAATACACATACAACCAAGTTTTACTTAATATTACTGAAGGCAATCTCTGGTATCCAGGCTACGAATTCTTTGCACTAAAATGTAAATTTGGGCTGACAAGGACTTTTAAAAGTGGTTATATTTATAAAAAAGCTCTTAGTCTTGGCAGGAAAAGTTACAACTTAAACAGAAGTTGAAATCAGTACAAAACCAAAACGCAAACTGGTACATTCTTGCCAGACAAATACTCTATCTCTATAGATATTCTTTTCCCTTGAAAGTTTTAACTAAAATTCTATTTTACTTCTTAATTATATTTCACTATGTAAATATTTACCTTAAACATGCCCAAACTTTTCTGACTATAATTCCTTCTATAAAAAACTAAGCTGATGTTATTTTAGTGATTTTTAAAAACATGTGCAAACATTATTAAAATAAATATATCTATAAATGTTTTAAGACATTGAGAAATATAACCAAGACTATTTCAAATGAAAAAACAAAAAACAAAAAAACGAGTATTTATAACTGACTACATTTGACAGAAGTGAGAGATTTCTCATCAACCACTTGCTCTGTTGTTTGAGTACTAAGGCTATTTCCAACACTGTATTCAACTGCATCAAAGCTATGCCAAGCAGATTTTTGTGAGTAGTGAAAAGTGTGGGGTCCAGCCAAAGCCGCATTACAAAACAAACTTTTTTGCAACCCCAAGTATAAGGCAAGACAATTTCCTGAGAATTGAGAATTGGAGAAGCCAATCATCCAAATATCCTAAACATCTGAACATGCAAGGAGCACTGCATTATCTTTTTTCTTCTGGACACAACACTATATAGTCCTACTGCCCAAGATATTTTGGATGTTATAATTTTTTTTTACCTTATTGACATTTACATTGTTGTCGGGTGAGGTTTTTCCAACAAGTGGTTCAAATAATGATATTGTAGTGGAGATATAGCCAATACTGCAGCCCCCTTGTTTTTACAAGATCCACATTTTAATTTGTATATTCCAGAATTGCCACACAGTTAGTTGAACAATTTTATCAGTTGAATTTATGCCCATGAAATCTACCATTTGAAAGTGAAAATGCACCTCAAACGAAATGCTCTTATTTTCAGATTTATCAAGTTTATAGTCTACCTTGAACAGACATGTTACTTTTACCTACATTTAAATTGTCAAAATTTCTAGTTACACAAATGAACATAACTTTAAAATGTTACAAAAAGTGACAACTTATAAACAGCCACTTTACAAAAATCAAACCACACAGAAAATTGGCCTTTACATTATATTATATAAATAATGCACCTTTTTCATTTTTGTTATGCTGCTCAATGTCCACAATCAAGGGGGGCAAGGGGGGGCAGGAAGTAAACTTAAGTGCACAAATGTGCACCTTTCTAATTTTTTTGGCATCTGTGTGGATTGGTTGAGCATTATCAATTCCCAAGACCTGTAGATAAGGTGGCCCCGGTTATTTGCCAATTAACAATTTGAATCTAAGCTGCAAACAGTTACAGTAATGGGCAATAAGATTTACAACATAATAGTTAAAGTCTAGTATCCGTTAGTGAAAATTCTTAAGTTCTAACAACTGAAAGATTAAGGGAGATCAGACCAATATATACATACAACTTGAATAAATAAATGGGCACAGTCTATCATGGTGTTGATCCCATGCAAGTCTGAAGTACTGTTAAGTGTCCTCCTTTAAAAACTTGGGGTGATGGTGCATGCAGTATGCAGTCAAGGTGAATTGCAAGTCTGAGTTTTTCAGAGGGCTTTTGCTGATGCCGATGTTGTGCATGATGAAGTGTAGAGTCAGCCTGCTGGAGTCCTCTATCCTTCTTAATGCCTTGTCCAGCTTGGGGGAAAAGTCCTTTCCATAGAGAAGCAGTGTGCAAGTTTGCAGTTTGTAAGAAATATTCTGAATCAGTTTCCTCTCCTCCAAAGAGAGAGAGCTGCTTGGAGAAATGCAAGTCCTTGAACTGCGGGCGTGCCTGTATGTGTGGGCTCCTTGTTGAACTAAATATAAATAGCTCAGTACATACCAGTAGGGGGCACTAACGTTCAAAGTTTTCCAGCATTACATGGCCTTTTGCAACAGAAGCATTCACCAACAAGGTTTTCATTTGAATAAACTAGCTCATCTCAGGAAAAAGGAATCTAACTGAATGTAAAAATTGGCAGCAGATGTAAGTACATTCTAAAATGTGTAAGATACTTACCTCGTCTTCCCAAATACGGTTTGGTGTAGTCCCAACTGTCATTGTCGTTCCTAATAACATTTAGACGAGTTGGCTGTTAAGATTAAAAAGAAAGCAACTTTAAATTGTTTATCCAAAGGATAAATATTTCTTTGGCATAGTGTTGAAAAAATATTTACCCTTGCATATTCGATTTTTAGTGTGCAACATCCAGCATATATATCTGCTCCATTGAGTGCTGCTTTAGCTTTCTGGGCACAAAGCACTGATTCAAACATAAGCTCTATTAAGGAAATTTGGCTTAAAATGTACAATATTTAACCATTACTTCTGTAAGGACCAAAAGTAATCAGAAATAACACTTTCACTTCTGAATATGTTTTACCAAATAAAACTTTAAGGTGAATTTGAGTAGAAATTATTTTTAAAATAAAAAAAAACATAATACAACCAAACTACTTACATTAATCCTAAATCATCAGAAATACTTCATAAATTGGGGGAGCCAAAGGGGGGGAAAAAGAGGAAGGTCCCAGTCCCTAGCTAAGTACTATTTGCTGCCTTGAGAAAGGAAAAAATGTTACAAAGAATCAAAATAAAAGAAATACTTGGTTTTTATATATTTCTGAGAAAGCAGATTTTATAATCTGTATACTATGACTACTTTGGGTATTTTTAATTACTTAAGTCTACAATTGCTTTTAAAAAATAAAACCACAGAATTGATTTTTTAAAAACCAAAACACTTTGCCAGAAGTAAGCAACATTAAGAGTTTGTTTTTATATTATCTTTTTCTATGCATACATATATACACCAGGGTTAAGGGTATTTTTTTTCCCATTACTGGTTTTTTAAATGGGACTTTATCAATAATACATATACTGTTTTTGCAATGTTATTTTTTTTTTTTAATTCTTATGAAGAGGATTTTTTTTTTTTTAGATTTATTTATTTATGCATACAGAACTGGGGTACAGTCTAGAGGCTCAGGGGTGGTGAGAGGCTTCACCAGAGACAGAGTGGGGAACAGAACAGGCAGATCGACGAAGTACACTGCTGAGGGGAGCAGCGGGCGGGCCAGGAGAGGTCTGCCACGCCATGTGGTCACCTCCGGGGCAGGCGGGAATCGAACTCATGCGGAAGCGGCTTTAGATTCTCAGTGCTGTGTTTTAACCCGCTGCGCCACCAGGGAGGGCCGCAATGTTATTTTTATGCGACAGATAAAGTTAACACAAAAAAAGTAATTACATAGACCATTATTTATTTTTTAAATATTCAATAAAGAATGTCTTTACTAAAGTTTTGGTATTTTACCTATTCTGAATGGGAATTTAGAAAAATTCATTTGGGGTAAATTCAAAATGTACAAGTATTCATATTATCAAATAGTGTTCATTTTTTCTCTCTTATAAAAGGCAAACCATAATGTAAAGTAAAGCCATGGACTGTTCTATGTTTATTAAACACAGGAAAAATTTTATGGGTACTATAGTTTCATTTTTTTAACTCTAAGCCAAATAGATTTATTTAGGGGTAAAGGAAGAATAAACATCACCTTTCTGGAAATAGTTAAATGGGAAAAAATAAGATCTATATAATGTAGCACTCACATACGTCAATAAAAATTTACAAATAAAGGATATTCAACCATTGCTTGTATCCCATTTCTCTTGAATATAACAATACGCTGTACTTTTCCAACAGGGTTGCATACAGTATATAAGACATCCTATGAAGAAGAAAAATATTTTATATTTAGGAAAACGTTGAAATTATACCAACTAGTTTTACTAAAAAAAAGGGGCAAAGGGAATCAGCAGTATAGATACTACTAGCTACTAATAAAATGTTTAAAACTTTCACTTTAGTAAGTCTAAAATTAATCTAAATAAATCCCTGTACCTGAACAACACATTCACAATATCAAAGTGCCAATGAATATTTGAAGGTCACTATTTGATATTTTATCTCTAGTGAATCCTCAATTTTTATTCTAACACATGCCTAAAATAATCTGACAATACATAATTAACAACCAAAACTGCATTATTTTTCCAAACATGATTGTGAAATGTTTAATATTATAAACACTGATAATTACAATAATAAATATTAAAAGGTAGTTGTAGAACAGCTCAGTATTCGTTCCTCAAAGAACAACAGCTACAGAAAAGGGACTCAGGGAAGGTCACTTACACAGTATGAGATATCACCAAACAAGATGCCTGAATCTTCTGAGAGAACACCTAAGTACCCAAGAACCCTTAGGAACAATTCATCTTTTAAGAAACTTCTTGAGCATTCTACAATTACACAATCACACTATCAGCTACTAGGCACACACTAAAAGCAAAAAATAAAATGATACTACTTGCACTAGATTAATCATATTCTTTTTCCCCTAAACATATAGCTATATTCACATTACCTATTAGTGTGTATTTTATAAATAAAAGTAAATATCTAAACAAATTTAAATAGCACTACTTTATGCTTTAAGTTTATGTAGTGTAGCAACATCCTATATCCACACTAGAAATCATGCTACGTAAAGTTTGCCTTATAATATTCATTATAAAAATTAAGTTTGTCACTACCTTATTATCAAATAATGTGACTATAAAATGGAAAACTCAGCTATTTTAGAACATGAATCCTTTTTGAAATTGTATTATTACTTTTTAAAAAGGTGAAGCAGGGAATTTTAAGTATATCAGACATGTTTTTAACAAGCAATCTTGTGGTGGGAATTTCATGGGGAAATCATACATTGTACAAAAATGCAGGACAATACAATGAACATATTAAAAAATTTTTAATTAATAAAAGCTACCCCAAAACAACTTATGACATATACATCCCACTGTACTGTGGGATTCTGTCCCTTAGAGAATACTTTTAATACAGTGAGAGAGATAGATTTTCTTTGATCGCTTCCTACAAGATTATCTAATCCCTTATTTTCAGAAAAAGTTAATGTGAACTGATATAAAACTCAAAATGTGCTTTTAATTGACACCTTTCAGTTTCAGTCCTATCATTTCTTCATTAAATTTAATAGATGAAATTAATATTAATCTTAATTCTTTAAAAAAAAACTATTCTGAAATCTCTAGATGGCAATGAAGAAAACTATAGGTCAGTCACTCCAGGGGTAAATTCAAGATCACTTTTAATTTATTCTGTCATATAAAATACTTACTACTGTAATTGGATAAAGAGGATTTTGAATTGATAATAGAAGAACTTTGTTGCCTCCTGATGGATCATCAGTATTTCCTGGCCGAGTGATCCTTTTGCTTGTAGAATAGTTGAAAAAAGCCTGTTGACCAGCAATGTACACGGGTTCATCTGCAGCGAATGTCACACATTCTTTGGCACTATCTATATTCTCAAATTCCACAAGGGCTTGCCTCTTAAATGGCATCATCATCACATAGCTAAAGGGATGTTGGAAGGGAATACCAGAATATTAAAAAGTTCAATTAATATTTTGTTCTCGATTAAGTAAAAGCAGACATTGATAAAACTGGGGCAAATCGTACAGATTAGTATTCTTCACTACCTAATATTCAACATTAGTCAACTTTTCAATTACCAAGTAAAGTGTGATACACCAGATAGAAAGTACATATTTGAAAGCTTAGCCTACTATTATTTAAAGTTTATGCTCCTGCTCTCCCCAAACATAAACCTGTTATTTGTTACTAAGAGAACACCCAGTTTATTCCTCAGGCTGCCACTTCTAAGCAGTACTAGAAAATACTGGGCTAGAGAAAGCAACAAAGATAAAACTCAACAAAAGATTGGCAAAGAGGACCCCTACCAGAAAAGTACTTCTTTTCACAGTTTCAAATATAAAAATGCCCTTATTTGTAACTAAAAACTAACTATACTTTCATTTATCTTACTAAAAGCAAGAACCATAAGATAAGCCAACCAATTTATTTTGCAACTGACCAAATCTCATAAAATAGCCTCCAAAATAATTTACAAGTTAAAGAATCTATTAAAAGCTATCAATAGACTATGATAATCATGGTTGTCCATGAAGGTGAACTATTTACTTAAATACTCTTTGAGGAGAAATATATTTTAACACATAACAAGAAAAATAAATGAAAGAAAGGAAAAAAAGAAGTCACAGCACATGAATCAGAACAAAGTAGAACACCCTCTATTTGCAGGAAAAGGGACCTTAAAAATGTTTTAAGATACAATAAACAAGGTTCTATAATATCAAAAAGCCAATTATGTTTTAGGTCAATTATATCTCAATTTAAAAAAAAAGAGTTCTGCTCCCCACTCTCTCTCTCTCTGGTGAATCCTCTTATCCCCCATACCTCTGGCCTGTACCCCAGTTCTTGTGTGCATAAATAAATAAATCTTTAAAAAAAAAAAAAGAAGTTAAGATCAGAAATGTAACATCAGGTCAGGTACTGTGACAGTACTGCGTTTCAATCAGGCCAGCTAAGACCTACTGTTCAAACTTTAGAAACTGGTAAACGGTTCCCTTTTTAATAAGAGTCAGACCACTCTATAGCCTGGCAAATTACATAAATTTTCTGACAAATTTCAGATTCCTCACTTAACAAAACTCAAGGGACTGTTGCCAAGATTATAGTTACTGCATACAAACTATTTACCAGCATACCAGGTACACGGTCGGCCCCAGTAAAAGGGAAATAGTACTTTATTTCTATAGACCTTCACTCATTCATCTTTACAACCTCAGAATCTAGAAACAGAACCTGGCACATTCAATCAATATTTAGATCTATGAGGCTTATCCCTTCAATTAAAGAAGAAAATATAGAAACAATAATGCCTTACATTTATTACTACAAATGCAAGATACAAATGCCTGGAAAAAAACATTCCTTTTAGAAATGCAGTCTTTGGACCCTCCCTGGTGACATAACAGGTTAAAGTACAACATTATGAAGCTGTCCGCAGCCACTACAAAGCAAGTTCATTCCCAGCCCGGGAAGTGATCCACATAGCGCAGCAGACCTCTCCTGACCTACGCACTGCCCCCCCTCAGCAGTCTAAGTCACTGACCTGCCTGTTCTGCTTTCCACTCTGTCTCTGGTGAATTCTCTCACCCTCCCACCCCAGACCTTTGGCCTGTACCCCAGTTCTTATATACATAAATAAATCAATCTTTAAAAAAAAGAAAAGAAATGCAGGCTCTTCATTGATAGTCTCACTCTTGCATACACACACACACACACACACACACACACACACACAACATTTGGTACCTGTTCTATGTTAAAGAAATTTTAAAAAAATATTCTTACACACACACATATGATTTAACATCTAAACAGTATAACTGAGTAAATATGTTAATAATGCTATTTGGCTTCTTGAACACAGAAAAATATACATGCTTAAAAATAAATTCTTTATGAAGATACAATGGAACAAAGAAAATTTGTTCAGCAAGTGGTGCTGGGAAAACTGGGAAGCTACATGCAAAAAAATGAAACTAGATCACTGCCTCACTCCAGTCACAAAAATCAACTCGAAGTGGATTAAAGACCTAGACATAAGAACGGAAACCATAAAATACCTAGAAGCAAAGATGGGTCAAACACTACACGACATACACTTCAGCGACATCTTTAAAGACAGAGCACCAAACGCTACAATAGTGAAGGCAAAGATAAATAGATGGGACTACATCAAGTTAAAGAGCTTCTGTACAGCAAAAGAGACATTACTAAAAACAAACAGAAAGATCACTAATTGGGAAAACATTTTCTCACACAAAAGTAGCAATAAAGGACTGATCACAAAAATATACGGAGAACTGATGAAACTCAACAAAAATAAAATAAACAACCCCATCAAAAATGGGCAGTAGAGCTAAAAAGACACTTCTCCAAAGAGGAAATGCAGATGGCCAACAGGCATATGAAAAAATGTTCAACATCACTCATAATAAGGGAGATGCAAATTAAAATCACAATGAGATACCACCTCACCCCAGTGAGAATGGCACATCTTCAAACAACTAGCAACAACAAATGTTGGCGAGGATGTGGAGAAAAAGGAACTCTCCTGCATTGCTGGTGGGAATGCAAACTAGTACAACTACTATGGAAAACTGTTTGGAGGTTCCTCAAACTGCTAAACATGGAGCTTCCCTACGACCCAGCAATCCCAATCCTAGGTATCTACCCAAAAGACACAAAAACACTGATTGAAAAAGATACTTGTATCCCCATGTTTATTGCTGCTTTATTTACAATTGGAAAAACATGGAAGCAGCCCAAATGCCCAAAAGTAGATGACTGGATTAGAAAGATGTGGTACATATATACAATGGAATATTACTCAGCAACCAAAAAAGAGAAACGCATGTCTTTTGCAGCAACTTGGATGGAGCTGGAAAAGATCATGCTTAGTGAGATAAGCCAGAAAGAGAACGAAAAATACCGGATGGTTCCACTCATAGCAGGAGTATAATGGACTAGGCGAGAAAATAACAAAAATAATGAACAACCATATACCAGAGACATTCTGTGGGGGTGGAGTAGGGAATGGGATCAAAAATGGGGGGGGGGGAAGGGAGGGAAATGCACGGGACTATGGTGGTGGCACAGGGGTGATTTGGTGATGGGAAACCTGCGGGGATTACAAATGAGATGGAAAAAAAAATGTGCAAAATGATGTAAAAATAAACTTTGTAATAAAAAAAATAAAATAATAAAATAAATAAATTCTTTATTAGCTTGGTTGGAGTAAAACTGATTTCTGTAACTAAAAGAAAAAGCAAACTAGAAACAGAGACTTAAATATTAGAAAGACTGGTAGCATCATATGAAAACAAAAAGGGAAAATTAGAATGTCAGACATTTTAGAAAGCACTTAAATTTTCTAGCACTTAATTTTTTTTAATATCTGAAATTATTAATATGAGGAAGATTGAAAGACCAGAAAGAAAAATTTTAAAGGCTAAGCAAGGTAAGTAGAATCAGTGCTTTCAACTCAGCTCAAAACATGTTTACTAACTGTTAAATAAAAACAGGAAGTGGCAAGTAATTTACTAAAAAAATACAAAATTTTTCAAAATTTAAACCATATAGCTAATCACTACCTAACTTTTGCTCCTTTAATGGGAAGAGAGAAGGGAACAAGTTACAGCACATATTTTTAAAATACCTTAATACAGAATTTAAAAATACAGCAATTTTATTATCCTGACACTGTATACTCATTTTAACTTCTTTCATATACATCTATAGTCTTTAAGATTTAAAAATTAACTATATATTGAACATGGTGATTCTTCCTTTTTATCATGAGTAGTTTCTATATAGTCTTTATAATCCCCCACATACCACTAAACAGACAAGTAGGAAAAGGTTCTATAAATCCAACATTTTTTTATGTAAGTTTATTTTTACATCATTTTGTGCATTTTTTCACCTCAGTTGTAATCCCTATAAATGCAACATTTTAAAACTTAACCTCTGAAGCTACTCATTCTTTTAACTTTAATAGCAGTCACTTCTTTATTCAATATCATTTCATATATAACTGAAACAATTATACATATATATGCTAATTAAGCTCTTAATTATACACTAATTTGTTTCAATTACTTCACAAATTTTCTACCCACACAAATGCCAAAAGTGAGGGCAAAATGGCCACTATTCAAATTAACTGAGCAACCCATACATATAACGAAAACTTTACCATGGGTTCTATCAGTGTAGTCTAAAAAACAGGTCACCCAAAAGTAATTCAAATCACTCACCAACTTAAATATTTCAAATCTTTAATACCAAATATTCAGGTCATGATCATAATTAACTTTAAAATATCAATGTAGGTCATTTTTCACTAAAATTCCCAACCTTATTTGCTCACCAACTTGTTTTCTGACATTTGTTTTGGTATTTCTGAGCTATGAGAAAATAACAGCCCTAAATATTTAAGATCAAAAGAAAAAAAATCAGATCATCATCTTTTTATAATTGTGGTTCAATGCACCATTTAGAAGGTTTTATGATGACTGGGGTTAGTTTAGTGCCAACATATAAGTCTAAAGACAGTCACAGGTGTCCGGTTTCAATATGGAAAGAGACTTAACTTCTAATATCCACACCAAATAACTGGAAATGATATAGTAATTTTAGTGTACTTCCAGAAATTGGTTTTTATGCTTAATTGAAGTACCAATTTGTACCTCCAAGGATGAATAATACAAAATATTGTTTTTGAGGGGTATAAATTGAGACTAACAGAATTCCCAAGTCATCTAACTCTCAACAAGGTTACCAAAGAAATTAATTTTTAAAATGCCAATATGGAAGAAGGTATTACCTAAAACTCTTCCTATTCCTTTGAAGCAATGATTACTTTCTATTCAACACTGCTGATCATTCCTTCACCATCTAATTAAATATCATCCTTTTTGTAATTAAAAACACACATTTTTATAGAGTAGTCAAGCTTTCTCATCAAATATATTGAAATTTCCTGTTTATAGGTTTGACTTAGTCTGTTTCTGATGCCCATAACAAAAAAAAACCTAAATATATTCTTCAAAGAAAAAAATAATAAAATCAACCCCAGACTATCCATACTAAAAAAAGAACAACAGCTGAACATACTCCAAAAATAATTTAGAAAGAATTTCTGAGTGTCTATTTTTGGCAGTAGATTCACTTTTCTAATTATGTTTTCACTTAAGTCAATATTCTCAAGCATATACCAGCTGTGGAAGAAAAGGAGGAGCCTGATAGAATACAAAGCACAAAAGGGAAGACAAGGAAAGATGAAACAGTGATAGCTCATGATCTGCTTCTTTGATAGCTCATGATCTGCAAGAATCAAGAATGCTAAGAACACTGACCACCCTAAGCAAATAATACCTACCCTTAACTACCTACTTGTAATTGCCAGTTAACTGCAAAATATTCCAGAATAAACAAAAAGATATTTTTAAATCATAAGTACCACTGCTTAAAACTCTAAAGATGAAGTGTATAATCAACTCACTGGCTTAAAGAAGTGTTTAAGAAGGAATCATGAACTCATTTGAAAATCTGATGAAAGATGCAATAACAAACTTTATATGCAACCTGTTTGAGGACTGAGAGACTGATCGTGGCTCTACAAAAATACATATATGCATCATCCCAGGAAAATTAAAAATAACAGGCTTAAAAGACTCCAAAGAAATACAATCATAATAAGCTTAATATATACTATGTTAAACACCAAGGCTTGAGCAAGCCAGCAAAGTTTGTTCAACCATATTGTCAAACTGCATCAAGTCCCTACCGTCCTTACCATATTGTCCCAAATTTTTCCAGTGCCTCCACAAGGTCTGCTTCCACCACAGATTCACAGAGTCCTCGAACATGTACAACAGGTGAAACAGAAACTTTATGATGACTTCCACCTGCCTCCTAGCAAGAAAAAATAATTTCCAGTTATAAACCTTGAAAGTATTTTCCTTTAAATCTGCATTCAAAAGCAAAATTAAAAAAAAAAAAACATGCAATTCACAAGTCAACAAAAGTAAAACTGCCAATTAAGTGTGTGACATAAAAATATTTCATTTCTTAAAAGGAACATTCACTTTCAGTTAGAAGTACAAATAAGCTACCTGATGATTTATCCAACTTCAAGGAAATCTCAAAAAACTTTTCATCAGGTATACAGCACATACCATGGTTAGAAAACACCATGGTCAAAGTTTCATAATTTTGAGCACCCGCTGGTGGCGCAAGGGTAAAACACAGCACTATGAAGCTACCCACAATCACCACAGCATGAGTTCAACCTCCAGCCCCAGAGATGACCCACATGGTGCAACAGAACTCTCCTGCCTCGCCCCCTGCTCCCCTCAGCAGTGTGTTTTGGTCCATCTGCCTTGTTCTGCTCCAGGCTGTCTCTGGTGAATCCTCCCACCCCTGCCCTGCACCTCTGGCCTGGACTCCAGTTTTTGTATGCATAAAAGAAAAAGAAAGTGCTAAATGAAATCAACATGGTATCTAGGGGGAGATAATTAGTTCAACATCAAGGCTGAACACATTTTATTCCTCTTATATTTTTCCCTTATTCCCAAAACTCAGTGAAACAGTCATTCATGAGTTTATCAACCTTGATATATTTCTCTACCTGTAAATGATGTACTTTTTGTGAACTTAAAACTTTTCTCATTCTTTTTTTTTTTTAATTTATTTGTGCATATAGAACTGGGGTACAGGCCAGAGGCTCAGGGGCGGCCAGAGGCTTCTCACCGAGTGAGACAGAGTGGGGAGCAGAACAGGCAGATGGACAAAGTACACTGCTGAGGGGAGCAGCGGGCAGGTCAGGAGAGGTCTGCCACGCCATGTGGTCACCTCCGGGGCAGGCGGGAATCGAACTCATGCGGAAGTGGCTTTAGCTTCTTAGTGCAGTGCTTTAACCTGCTGCGCCACCAGGGAGGGCCTCTCATTCTTTCTATAGTTTATTTTAAAAAGAAAAAGATCCCAGGGTTGCTTCCAAATAAAAAAAGTTGTATCAAAAGAGCTCTTTTCAAACTATTTTTCACCAGCTCCTCCTATAACCATTACTAACATTTTTCTCACATCAGTATTTTCCAATTTCTATCCTATATATAGTTGTTAAGAAGTCTGAAGTCTGTACAATTTCTTTTATCTACCCTAAGCATCATACTATGCATCTGATTCCTAAACTTATGAGCAAATTCATCTATTATATTCTCTCTCCCACTTAACAAGTCTTTGATTAATCCTTTTGCATACAGACACCAAGTTCTTTCCATTTCAAATGTTTAGCTAGGCTCAGCTCGCTCTATCTATTATTTATCAGACTGAAAATGTTCTAAATACTCAGTAAAATGAAGGCATACCTACAATTTATATACTTTTTTAATTATTCAATCTCTTCTTTAAGTAAACTGTGTACTGCAACAAGGCATATTTGGTCCCCACTATAAACCAGGCTAATCATAACCATTCCAAACTCCCAGCCCTTCCTCAAGGATAAATTCTATATAATACCAATCTTAAACTGCTAATTTTGACTATTGGAGGCTGAAGATCAGCTCTACTGAAGAAAAATTCAGTATAAATAGAGCTTCTATCGAGAGATATTAGAAGGGCCCATTAATAACTCTTCGTATAGTAAAGTAACAACTTAAATGTACACTCAAGGCCTAGGCAAAAGCCTAGTTTTTTGTTAATGGCCCAGCATCTCCGTGAAAACAACATGTATTCAAGAGCCACTGAACAATCTTTCCGGCTCTCATGTAATTACAGGATTTTAAAAAACCACCCCCAAATTCATTTAATTCATCCCCCAACACCAAGCCATACACAGACAGACCCACTGTCAAGTGATTATTCAAATTCTCTTTAAACATCTCCAATGACAGAAAATACACTACCCTGTAAGACAATCTGTTGTATTTTTAGAAAATTCTTAATTATATGTACCTAAGTCCGTTTCTCTGTAGTTCCTATCTGAAGTTAGGAGTTAAACATTGGAGTTAAGCCAATGTTTGAAGCTTTAAATAGTTACTAGTGATCTTAAGCTAGTTACTTAACTTTTCTAAGCCACAGCTTCACTACTTAAAAAACAAAAATTCTGATCATGCAAAATTACAGTTAAGTGTAACAACAAATATGAAATATCTAACAGTAGATATGGAACAAAGGTTCAACAAATATTATTTGGCACTCCCTACCCTTAACTACATTTTCCTCTGCTACATGATAACCTTTCAATTATTTGTAATAACTTATTAAATCACACCTAAATTTGCCCATCAGGCTAAATATCTACCACATTCTTCTGTCACTCTACATATGAGTCCAGTAATCTTTCTTTTGGTATCAGAATGTATCAATATAAAAGTACAGTATTTCCAGATACAGTAATATAAGACTGTACGCTCTTTTAGTGGATACTTAATGTGGAACCAGAACAAGCTAGTTCTAAAGGGCAGCTGGATTTTTTTTTCAACTTAAAGACTATGCTTAGACTAAACTACATTTTTCCTTACTATCTTATTAAAGTACACAATTACATTTCTCTACTTTGTCATTTCCTTTCTTAAAAGAATATAGCAGATCCAAAATTGGAGAAAACCTTTAATTTTTTTATGCAAAATCTTTAGAATGTATCTGATCACATAATGAAGATTAAAAAAGATAAACATGATTCAAATCACTTTTTAAAGAAATAATCTTTAGTCCAGTCAAGCAGGAGATGAGGGACAAATCAAATCCCTAGACACAGTCACTGCCTGGGGCAGACCCATGGCTGGAACCATTAGATTTAAGACCAAGAGAAGGGCTGGTGAGGCAAACTCGCGGCAGGACTGGAAACCATAAAAGGAGTTGAGGAGAGCTGGACTGACCATCTGCTGGAGTCTGCCCCACCAGGGAACTCCTCCACCAACATCGAAGGGGAGTTGGGCTCCCACCAGAATTTTAAGACTGAGAGGCAACATCATATATGGCTGTTGTCAGAATGGATGGTGCAAACAGTGTGAATGACGATGCCCGGAACCCAGAGATCTTGCTGGAGAAAACAGGGCAGTTGGTAAGCCCCAGGAAGTTCCAAAACCAAGCAGTCCAGAAAACCACTCCACACACCTGCCCTATAAGTTCTTGAAATGCCCTGCCTTGCTACCAGCCTCAGAGTTGCTCACAGACATCTGAGCAGCCTTATCTGCTGTGATCCAGCACAGGTCCTCACCCTGGAAAAGGACAAGTTTCCAAGAAAAAGACAAAGCCCTTGAGCTGACTATCCAGCTGCAGGCTGCACTGAAAGAGAAGCTGGTTGGAGCTGGGAAGGGAGACTAGGGAAGCAGGGCGGCAGGAGGGCCACACCCAAAGAGGAACAAAGATGACTGACATGTAAGAAAGCACCAATTTTTAAAATCTGTTATTCTGCTCATTAGTAAAAATTCTGTGGTTTCATCTATACAAAAACCCTTCCCTTCTTCTGGTTAAAAACAAACCAAAAAATTCTATACTATTCTATTGGTGTTCTCAACATACAGTTATATTGGGGTAGTAAGAGACAAAAATCGTAAATTGGAAAGGGTTACTGTGGGCAATGGAGAAGTGAGTCTTTACTAGCTGTAAGAATATAAACCTAGATTTATCACAACGTAGAAAAAAAATTAAGTCGCTAAAACATCATCTAAATTCCTGGGCCCATCCATGCTTTCCCAGTTACATGGGCCAACAAATTTTCTACCTTGGCTCCATTTTGTTTTACTTGAGTGCTGTGGCTACAAAGTCAAGTCTTGAAAGTTGCAATAAATTTCAGAAAGAAAAAAAGCAGCACTAAATGATGGACTCCCAGATTTTTAGATTTGGAACTGTTTCCACTATTATACTCACATCACCCAGAAATACACCAAACCCATGGAGGGGCGAATATTAAGTTTTTTAAAGATTTATTTATGCATGAACAACTAGGGTACAAGCCAGAGGTGCCGGGGTCAGAGGAGTCACCAGAAGACAGTGGGAAGCAGAACAGGCCGACTAACGAAGCACACTGCTGAAAGGCGAGCAGCGGGCAGGTCAGGAGAGGTCTGCCACGCCATGTAGGTCAGCTCCCTGGCTGGGGAACGAACTCATACTGCAGTGGCTGCGATAGCTTCATAGTGATATGCTTTAATTCACTGCACCATCAAGAATGGCCCTAATATTAATTTTTAATGAGTTAAAGAGTTCACAATGGTCATCTAATCCAAGCATCTCATGTTGAATCCAAAAAGTTAAATCACAAAGTTTGTTGGTAGCAGAGGCAAGACGCCTGCCTTGGTCGGGCTTGTGGCCTTATTAACAGCTCTTCTCCGTGTAGAAACACAAAGAAAGTCACTTGTTAAAACCAAAAGATAGTAAAACCTATTACTTTACATTTCTTCCCCAAAACTAAAGCCTAACTTTATCATAGCTGCTTAGCTAAAGGCAAATTTCTGGCACTTACCTCCAGACCCAAACCCTTAAATTTTTTTCATTCCCTAAAGGGTGATTACTATGCTCACTGCCAGTCTATATCTGTACTTTTCCTACGGAGCTTAACTAACAAAGTGACCCACCTCCCAGCCCCTATTCACCCATTAAGCCATAATATTTGTATCGCTATAGTTTGGCATTTTACCAAAGTTGAGAAATTTAAATTTTCACCTTATCAGCAAACAAACTTTTACAGTCTCTTATTTGCCTACTTACCCACTTACAGAAAAAAGGAAAAACTTGAATGGTCTCTAAAAGGAATTAGTACTCCATAAATTTTATTGATATGAATGTTAATAAAAGTAGATCTTTACTAAGTGAAGTTCTAACATTTATAAGTCAAGCTGTTTTCTTAAAAGAAAAATGCTACAGAAATGTACTATTAATGTAATCTTCTAAAATACTGTCTACCCCATAAGAATAAATTGTATATAGTACCAAACATTAATCTCCATCATCAAGTTTTGTTCAACAATACGGCTTAGTGAATCTGAAATATACTGGAAGTTTTTGCTCTTCTGAGTAAATGCCAGAAAACACAAACTTGGTAGTTTTCATAGCAGAAGTACTAACTCACGTCTTTTGCACATTAAAATATCATTGATAGGAGCCCTCCCTGGTGGTGCGGGTTAAAGCACAGCACTAAGAAGCTTAAGCCACTTCCGCATGAGTTCGATCCCCGCCTGCCCTGGAGGTGACCCCATGGCGAGGCAGACCTCTCCTGACCCGCCCGCTGCTCCCCTCAGCAGTGTACTTCGTTGATCTGCCTGTTCTGCTCCCCACTCTGTCTCTGGTGAATCCTCTCACCCTCCGCATCTCTGGCCTGTACCCCAGTTCTGTACGAATAAATAAATAAATCTTTAAAAAATATATCATTTATAATGACCAATACATCATTCATTTGGAAGCATTTGCAGAACCACTGTTTTTCTCCAAAATTCACATTCCTCTTTTAGTTAATACTTATTAAAACATGGAAATGGAAATTCAATTACAAAAAGCCAAATAATGTAAATTTTTCAAGTCTTTTTGGTGTTTTACAAATTTCCTACTAGAGTTTAAAGGGTTGCCCATCACACTTAAACTATAGTAACAGTTTAACCACACAGTTATTTCTTCTCTGGGCTGAAAGACCAATAAGGCTGAGTCAAACCTTTTTCAGTCAAATCACCTACTTTTGGATGACACACTAGACAGCAAACTTTTATCCAGAAAATTCCTACCCTAATAAATTATGTAAAGGTTTCCATGGTTGCAATTTTAAATTCGTACCAAAAATTACATAGAAAGTTTTTAAAAAGAAAAAATAAGTACTCATAGATTTGGCAGCACAACAATGTTTCTAAATAAAAGCATTTCACTCTCTTCTAAAAGCATTAACAACAGTAAGGTTAAACTGTAAGTAATTGTACTTATAGCAGTAAGATAAATTTAGGTTAATAAAAATTGGCTAACTTGAAAGCTGCATTAATTTTATTTTTCCCACTGCTCTGGAACTACTGAGCATGTTAAGATGCTAGAAAATGGTACAATGCCTCTTGTCAGAATATGGTTAAGCTCAAAGTTACAGGGCAGAGCACTAACTATCCCTACAGAAATTCACATTACAATGATGCTCCAGCATCTCCTAACCTATTCTGAGGAAGTCAACTGCCTCACTGGATGAACACAGGTTGCCCTGATGATATATTCATTCATCTTACAATGTCCATTGATCTAATCCAGGGTCTTGAATTTCTGCAAAACTGAATGGAAGAGCTTGTTCTTTCTATATATATCACTAAAAAGCCTCCAGAGTTAACCTGTGTTTTTCTCAAAGGTCTAGTACTTTGTCTAGAGTACAAGAAATATCTGAGGTAGACATAAGCCATGATACTGTTCAATTCTAGTCTGAAATTAAGGTTTGGAGAAAAAACGAGACACATATAATGGAATCCACCTTTTGGAAGACATCAAAAAAAAGAATGAATTTCAAGTCATTTCTTGTATAACCTAGATGTTCAAAGTAGCCTACAGTACCTCCAGTCTTTCTAAATGAAAGTATTTTGTCAAACTTTAAAAAAAAAAAAAAAAAGCCCTGCATTATATTAGTCACTTAACTACAACTTCACGTATGGGAGGAATATGTTCAACCTTCACATTTTATGATTGAGAGAACTCAGAATAGTAGTCCGCGGACTTTCCCAAGACCACAAACTGTAAAGGACCTAAGACTCCTGTAAAGGACCTAAGACTCCTGATTCTCCCTATACTCTGATCAGTCCTCAAGCCCGTGCTGCACACAACTCACTTTGGATATTCTGGTAATTTCCTCAAAAGAATACTATTAGCTTAATGTTTAACCTTTTCCCAAAAAAAAATTGTTACAAACTGACTTAAATGTCTTCCCAAGACATTTAAAGGTAGAAGACTTTGTCGCTGCTACACAAAAACTCCAGCAGCATTTTTGGCAAAAGAGCTACACTAACCCACTACATCAAAAATATGTTTCCAACTTCCACAATGGAGTCTGTTTGTAACTGAAACTTTCTAAGAAGGAATACACTTCATTTACATTTCCAAGTTACATTTTGAAGATCCCAGTCAGGCATAAAAATACTCATTAAAAAACTATGTCGTTTTTACAAGGCAAGTGCTTTTTAAAAAGACTGCAACCTTATCTGTCCCATTATCTTATTTGAAGCTCTTAACACTGAAAAATATTGACAGCATTTTTTTACATAAAAATTCAAATGGTAGCTAAGCGATTTCTAATTTGACACAAAATGAAAAACAGTTTCATCTAACAATAAAATGCGTACAATTTCGTAAATTTCAGTTAGTTTGCTTGAAGATCACAATTAAAATGTGTTGTCATTAAGACAGCTTAAGTGCACCAAAAAGGGGGGGAAAAACCTTTGTTGTTTCCGAAAGCCTCCATCGAACTGAAGCTGAGTTACCACTTGCTGTGGATTAAGTGACTTTCACATTCCTTCTGCCTCCAGCTAACTAACACTTTGGAAGAGACAGACAAAAATCTCGAAACGCCGTGCAAAGCGGTCCTGAGCTCAGTTCCTGCCTTCGTGGGGCGGATTTTGTTAAAGAAAAAAAAATGCAAATTTTTCTGAGGTGATTTGAAGATTTGTTTTACTTGAAAGTTAGGGTGTGCTACACCTGCCATGCTTTTCTCTCCACCTAAGCGCTAAAAGCTGCCCCGTGCCAGGATCGTGAAGGTGGGTCGCAAAGCATGCACACCATGCCTGCCAAGAGTGAGAAATGCTTAATTAGACCTTCGGGGGGCCACGGCTGAGAGCCCCAGAGAGTATTTTGTCGTTTAGTGACGGCCTCGCCCAGCACAGGCCAACGGAGCCCTGGGTGGAAGAGACGCAAACACCCTGTGATCGCGACCCGCGCGCGATGCCGCGGCCAGCGGGGCGAGGGGCGGGGGTCGGCAGCCAGGGGAGTCAAACCAACAAAGAGCGGATCGCGCCCCAAAGCCCCCCAGGGCCGAGCGGCGCCTCCCGCTCGCCTCCGACCCTCCCCAAGTTCAACGCCGGCCGCGACTGGCGCCGGGGCCTTCGGCCAGGCCGGGGCCGAGTTCGCGCCGGTTCCGCGAAAACTGGGAAAGCGAAGGATAAAAACCCCCGGCGGAACGCCGGCCCTTCCCGACACCCGGAGCAGCGAAATAAGCGCAGGAAGCGGGCGGAGGCTAGTCCCCCCTCCGGGCCCTGCTTCCCGGGGAGCCGCCAGGCATCGTGGACGGGGCGCCGCGCTTTGTTACCGGCTGTGAGAAGCTCCGGCCGCCGCCTCCGCCGCCATCGCCCCCGCCCCGGGGCGTCGCTTCGCGGCGATTCTCGCCTTCCTCAGCCGAGTAGTCGATCTCCCCCTCCTCGGTCTTGAGGCGCTTGGCCTGGCTCTCGTATTCCCGGTCCTCCTCGTACGTCTCCCGGGGTGAGGAGGAGGAGGAGGACATGGCGGCGGCCGGAGGGACCGGCGGGCAGCGGGTGGGGGTGGCGGCGGGGCG